ACTGGCCAAACAGATATTTGAAGCTAAAATCAAAGAGAAAATACCAAAGGGACAACCTAGACAAAGGTAGATTGATAGTGTTAAGCAGACTTTAGTGGAAAGGAGTTTAACTTTATTCCAGGCTAAAAACTTGTATGTTGGAGGAGAGTTTTGAAAAAAGTAATGGATGGTAGTATAAAAGTTTGGTTTTTTTCACCATGTTAACCTGTATACCAGCAGGAATTGATATTGATGATGATAATATAGCTATATTTTTTGTATGAATTTGGATTAAGAATAAATGTTATGTATTGAACATGATTTCTAAGAAAACTGGAGGAAAATAAATTTTTTATTACTATTATAGATTGTGTTTTCTATCCAGTAATTTATAAATGCTGTCAATAATAATTGAAATTTTACAATTATTAACATATACAAAGGAACAAATTGAACATTTCATAATATGTTAGAAAGAAGTAAGAATTTAAAAAGCAGTAACTGTGTAATAAAATATTTATTTAAATAATATAAAATGATTAGAAAGAAACAAAACTTTTAGTTATGTTAGGACTTATTTTATTTTCATTGTTTTCTATTGAATTTCTAATAGTACATTTGTTGTTTGATTCTATCTTGTATATTTAAAACAGTTAAATTGTGAATGTGACAAAATAGCTGAATTTTTAATTTAAATATCACATTTAATTATAGTTTCAAGTGAATCAAAATCAATGGAAAATAATGAAGAGAAACAGTCACCTGGAAAAGAAAGTTCACCTAAGTATGTTAATTTATTCATTATTTGTTATTTAGTATAATAATTAATAATGAACATACTATGATTGAAGATTTTAAATAATCATGTATAATGATAATTCTTATTATAGAGGATTTAATTCAGAAAAAGATGATGTTGCAGTTGAATACAATCCTGCAAAAGCTAACTATCACATAATTGAAGATGCTATATGGAAAAGAGGTGAAAAAGTGCCTTATCTTGCACTTGCAAGAACATTAGAAGAAATTGAAAATATTTCTTCAAGGTAATATATTTTTTATCATGGATGATGTGACAAGTGCATTCTTTATATATAGTTTAACCTGCTTATAACGTCATTCATGGGACCGGCAATTTTTGACGTTATAACCGAGTGTCGTTATCTGCGAGGTCATAATTTCAGTCCCATAAAAGTATCAAGTGTTTAAGAATCTATTATAAAATTCATCTAATTTAATATTGTATGTATAAAAGTGCAAACTAAACATTTAAATCAACTTTATTTACATTATTATGTCTAAATTTACAACGATGTAATTAAAAATTTCAAAAATTATTTTTTATAAAAAATTTTTATTTGTCAAGTTTCGATAATGGCGGCACTTTCGGTNTCTAGGTGGGAAAATCTCTCCCCACATTCTTAGGGATACGATTACATAAACACACCTGACACATGTGACAATTCTGTTTAGTTGTATATCAAACTTAATAGATATGTTTTGAAAAAGTGCCGTGTTATACAAATCTGTGCTATATGAAATAAAGAACTAATGCAAAAAATAGAGTTATGTTCTAGAAGTTAGCAAATGCTTTTCTTTTACAAAGTATCATCATTATCTCAGCTTTTTTGTTGAACTTGATCAGAAGTATTAGCAACATTTTCATATTTGTTACTTTTATCATAAAATATTTTTATGGATAACGAAATAAAAATATGTTTTCTTTCTTGTTGGGATACTAGCTATATTCTAATTAGAAAATTCTTGGAATTCTGTAATCCTGCATCTACAAGTATATAGGAATGCTACCGGTAATTCAACAGTCGAAAACTACAGTTCAATTGTGTTTATTTTGGTTGATTACATACATAACTATATTCATTTCATGCCAACTTACATTTTACAGCTCCTCATCAGTTACAAAAATAAGAGCTAGGTATAAGTACAAAATTAATTAAATATAAAAATGATGATAAAAACTGCATATAATAGTATTTTACTTTGTATTGAATCAACTTTATCTTAAAAATGAAAGGATACAAACATGACATGGAACATATTTCATCGATACATACAGCAAATGATAAGGACAGATACACCACATTAGATTATGGATGTTTTCTGCTATTTTAATCTTTAAAAATGAAGTACATGGGATAGGAATGGAGCATCTGATAAACATATGGAAAGTGGTGCAAATTACCAAGAGGTGGTATGATGTCATACCACCTCTTGGTGATTTGTATCCCTTCACATGTGTTTAGCAGATTTTCTTTATGTAAATTATTCTTGATTGCTACGTGTTGTTTAATTTTCTTTTGTATATGTCCTTTTCATGATGTAAAATTTTAATCTGGTTTTTGTCTATTGTGCAACCTGTCTGTTCTGTGTGATGGTACCATGGTGATTGTTTATGTTTAAGACACAGTGGCATCATGTTCTTTTAATCTTTTACCTAAGTAATAATGTGAGGATTGGCATGTGCATTGTAAACTATAAACAATACCTGCGTAATCTGTTTTTTTTTATTTTTAGTTTTTGTATCAATCTTATTGTGAAATATAGGTAAGTCAGCCCACAAGACATATAGTTATGAATGTAATAACCAAAATTAACATAATTAAGTCATAGTTTTGGATCATTGAATTGCCAATAGTGTTTCTATACACCTGCAGATGTAGGATTACAGAATTCCCAAGAATTTTCTAATTAAAAATATATTATTAATCAAAAATTTGTTATAGTGAGTCAGATTTGTTCAGTCAAATACCGAGCAACTTTTTCCAAAATTTGTATTTGAGTATCAAACTGTTTAAATACTGAGATACCATCGTATTTTGTTTGTCATTTTACAAATGATTGCTTACCTAGAGTTAAAAAAAGTTTATTAACACTTACTTAAAAGTGTTTATTTAAACTTTACTAAATATGAAGATTAATCTATAAAAAGAAAACACAGTGACAGTCTTAAAGACTAAAGTCTGAAAGTAATGACAATGACACCTGGTTGATAGGAAAGTTAGTGCAATTTTTTTCTTCCTTGTCTTATCAGTTTTCATTAAAGTAAATCTGACAAAAACCATAAAATAATTTGAAAATTTCAATATTCTTAAATTTGCCCAAGGATTTTAGATGACACAAGTGCTTACTTGAATTTAAAAAAATTGAATAATGAAGTTTACACTTAAAACTTGTGAAATGTTGTATATAGGATTTCCAAAACCATGATAGAGCAAACCAGAAGTCGTGTTGTATGGGAGATGTTCCCAATTTTCAAACTGTGTTGTATGAAGGATACCCATATTTTAAATAGCATTTTACAGGAATTCAAAATAAGCAAAAATATTCAGAATTAAAATGAATTATAAAATTTGACAGTGTTATCATCTATATTGTGTTAAAGATAAAATGAATATTTTATTCAGAATAAATACTTTATTTTGTTTAATTTTGCATCATTGTTACTGTATTTTGTCGATTTAATGCACATTTTTTCAGACTTTTCTAGTTTCTGAAACTGGAGGGCATATTAGAATTTGGCATAAAGTCAATTCAGTTTCATTCATTTCATCTGCTTCTCACTCTGCTTGGTGTTTTGCATGTATTATATCATTGGTATAGATGTAATATTCTTCTCATGACTATTGTTTTAGTTTTGGTTTTTGGAATGGTTTGGTTCAACAAGCCAAGTGAATGATGTCAAGCAGAAAGATTTCTATGAAGCCAAGTTTAGGCAGAAAGTTATCTGTTATGCCGAAGAACACGTGTGTCACATATCAGTGCAATATTATTTATCTGGTAACTTTTATGCTTGTGCATATCTACATGAAATTTCTGTTAAAACATTGATCATGTGGTAATTTTGACTGATTTTGTTAGTCTGCAGATTATTTGTCTTGTTAATGAAATCATAAGTGAATATAAAAATGCATTTATTGCTGTTTGAATACATTAACTTCCTGTGATTTATGTTTGGTGATATAGGTTACTCATTACATTCAAAAGCTACTGTGAGATTAGCCGGGGGTATGGAGTAGTTTATTACTCGTGTCACTTACTCGGTGTCTATTTAATCAAATTACCTCAATGTCCTTTTTTTCCTTATTAATATGTAAATTTTCGACTATAAATTTGATTATCTTCTATTATCAGGACCAGTATAATAAGTCCTGATAATAGAAGATAGTCTAATTTATAGTTGATGTCTATTTGTTGAGAATAGTCCCCAGTTGTCAAAAAGAATGGCTTTTCCTAATTCAAGGAAAATCGAGGGCGGAGGGACTTACAGTTAGAATAAATTTAAAGTGGAATTTGGTGATGGCAAATTCACCTTCTTCCTCGTCAGGTTCCCGACATCAGTTAATCATATTTAGATACGCGGATTAACACACGTTTGGAGATAATATGGATATGATTCAGATAATAAATAAGAGACATTTCCTTAACATATAATAAAAGATTTAATAAAATAAAAGTAAATAAAATTACACAAATGGAATTATTCAAAAATAAAATAAAGCGAATGAGAGACAATGGATTAATTAAATATACGCTTCGAGAGAGAGAGCTCACAAATTCATTTATAATCACACTACCTCAAAGTTTACTTTTCTTTATGTTCATCTGTATTCGATGATCATACTTCGTTGCATGGAGAGGTCTTGATTTGGCACAATATTAAAAGTTTCTTCTTTTCTCCTCTATTAACTCATTATTATACTCGAT